GAGTGGTTCCTGTGGAGTAAGCTAAGCAGGAATTTACTTACCTCTATGTTTTGTGACTGTAGCATATTAAGTAAGACACACTCCATAATTAAAACAATATTGTGTTGTTTTCTAAAAGGTACTTACTAGCTCAGCCAGAAGCTAAGGCACAAAAAACAGTGGCTGAAATTCTCTGGCAGGTGTTTCCCAAACCAGGCCAGATGGCAATACCTTATTATGGTTTTAAATTTTTATAAATAAACTTACTGGCAGGTGTCTTCGTAATTCCCATGAGTTGATGGCTATCTTGTATAATAATCCTTCTAGTTAGAGGCACTGCTTTAATTATTCCACTTTGTGTAGATGCCATTTTTTTTATTGCTGCTTACAGCTTTCCTGCTGATTTCTCTGCCTTTTGTTTTATTGCAATTAATTTCATGGGTAGATGACACTGGACCCTATTCTGTAAGAGAAGGTTGATAAGGTTGCCTATTCAGACCTTCCTTTTAGTATGATGGTTTTTATCCCCTTTGCCGTTTTCTCATTAGAACAGTAATCTGCATTCTGTAATCTGTTAACTACTGGAGGTCTAATACCTGCTGATTTCTCTGCCTTTTGTTTTATTGCAATTAATTTCATGGGTAGATGACACTGGACCCTATTCTGTAAGAGAAGGTTGATAAGGTTGCCTATTCAGACCTTCCTTTTAGTATGATGGTTTTTATCCCCTTTGCCGTTTTCTCATTAGAACAGTAATCTGCATTCTGTAATCTGTTAACTACTGGAGGTCTAATATACTATATTAGATCTACTATATAGTTAGATGACCTGTGATATGTTTTTGGTTTTTTTAATTGGCACGCACAAGCAAACAAAACAAGGGAAAAATAATAAATGTTCAAAGCTTAGGCTAACTTCTGTTTCACCACTAATGAGAAACAATTGGGCAACACAATTTAAGATAGTTCATGGTATGTTTTCCAAAGGCTTATGTTAATTTAAAGGTATGCATACCATTTTCAAACCATGTTTTTGTTCTGGTCTCTTTAAACAGACTTGCATATCATAATATCCTCTTAATTAACATAGTAGATTTGTAACAACTTCAGTCTGCTCCTCATATACTAAAAGTTTTGGGCTGATTACTGCTTCTGCATGGGTGCTATGAGTGCTGATGAGCTGGCCACGGTTGATAATCAGTGCCTTCTAGTGGCTGGAATTGATGTAGAACCTGGTAAGCTACAAGGGTAGCTCACTATATTCCTGTTTGTCTGATTACATCCTTTTTTCTTCCAATGATGATCTGACAACTGTATTTCCTTTGCATGCCTAGGGCGCTGGTATATCCAGGAAGGCTGGCTCTTGGTGGTGCCTTCAAAGGGAGAAGAACTGAAGCGCAGGATGTTCTTCCTTTTTTCTGATATCCTTATTGCAACAAAGCCCTGCCACCCACTGCACCTGCTGAGCTCGAACAAATTGGCATGCCAGGCTGTCTACCCACTTCACCAGTGCGTAGTGGATAAAGTGTTCGGCCACACGCAGAGCCAGGGAGGGCTCCTCAGTGTAAGTCTTCCTGCTTCTGCCCGGCAGAAGCATCAGTGGAGTCAGACTTGCGAAGCAGGTCTCTGGCTGTCTCGCAGCCGCAGCAGGATTGAGATGATGAGAGTGGTGACAATGGTAAATGCAATGAACTAGTCTGAGTTAGAGCAACCCTTCTCTTCTTGAGTGATGTAGGTCCTTTTCCCTTCATTGTGTAGGCCCTCCTGAGCACTCCAGGGTACACATTGCTGGCTGCTTCACTTAGCTCAGGTGAGGAGGGTCCGATAAGACTCTGACATGCCCTCATCAGAGCCACATGTTTGGGGAGACAGCCCCACAGTCATGTGACAGTGAATACGTAGCATTACATTGACTGTCATACTTATAGAAAACCCTGAAAACCAGAGAATGCGAAAAGATGTGGGTATTATCACAACAGATACTGCTTGTGCATCTAACTCCCTGAGGGCTGCAGGATCTTTGGCTGGGACTGACGCCTTAGTAGGGGTTTCAAGGTCAGGTCTTCCTAGGTTGCAGCACCTGGGGGCTGTGTTAGCTCATTCTGTGCGAGTTCTGACAAGGAAGACTCTTTGGGCAAGCTGTGATCTGTAGATGGTGGTAGTGGAAGGACCCCTAGGGGCAGCTTGGAATACGGGAGAAAACTGGATGTAGAGCTGCTGAGAACCGTAATTGCCCACTTCCAGACACCCTGTTAAGTCAAAGTGAGCTGTCATCTGTGGCTGGAAGGAATGGACGAGATTGGCACTCGCTCTGTACTGTCCGGTCTCTGGCTTCTCCCTGTACCAACGCTAAATTTTTTCTATCTGGGAAAGAAAACGGTGGAAGTCAGCATGCAGGGCTGAGTGGAGTTCAGTGGTCATGGCTCTCCTTCTGTCAGAGTTGCTGCCTCAGCAAGGAATGCCTCAGAGTGGCACCAGATTCTGTTTGCCTTTCAGCTTTCCTTTCCACACAAGACACTGCTGTTGATGTCCAGCGACCAACAAGATATTAATGACTGGTATCGGAGTCTCACAGCTGCAGTCAGGTAGGCACCTATTTTCCGGAGGTGGAAAGGGCTGAGGGAAGGGGGCAGAACATAAAAATGATCATATGGACCTGTGTATTTGCATGTATTACATGGTTTTAAGGCTGATAGAGAAGACCTGACTGGCAGCCAGGATACAAGGGAATAGCAAGAACGGATTTCTTGTATTAATAGTGAACTTCCCCTTTGTTTTCCCCTACAGGCAGCTGAAAGCCTGACCCACCTGAGTACAAGACAGACTGGCAGGACAACCACTCCTCTTGGTAGAAGCCTACACAATCTTAGGAAATGTTCAAGAACATATAGTAGGAGAATTGCATTTAGAGGGACTACACACCGTGCTTGCGAGATTATGAATGCTTATCTTAATACAGATATTGCAAAAAATAGGTATGCACACTAAGGATTTGTATATAAAAAAATCTGTATCAAGACTTTCCCCCAACTTAGAAGCTTTTAGCTTTTCTACATTTTTTTCCCTCAGATTATTAACTTAAGGACAAGCAGAAGAGAGCCTGACTTGCTTTCCCTCATTAAATGTTTTTATCCAACTGTCTTTCTAAATCAGTGTTTTCACATTTACTTGTCTACGTGTATGTCTACCTGCTCTTGCTTCTGGGTCCTTTGACCAAAACGGTAACATGGGCATAATGCTGTATTTTGAACTAGTGCTACAGTCATCTTCCTCCCTTGACATATTTTTATCATTCATATCCTTGAGTTTTCTGCAAAAATAGTTTGACAGTTATTGTCCCTCCTCCTCCAAGAAAGTGGCAGGTGGCCAGATCAAGGGAAAATGATTCAGTGGTTAAAATCCTACCTCTCAGTTTCTCATCAATCCCACAGAAAAGTTAATCTGCTGAACTATCTGAAATAAACTGGTAGGTAACATAGATTTAGACTTATCAAACAGCATTCATATTTCTAATTTGAATCCTGAGATTATGCAGATGAAACAGGACTCGCCTTTGCCTTCAAGGTATGCACTAGCCTTATCGCTTTGAAATGCTACAGGGAAAAGCTTGGGCAGCACCTCCACTCCTGAAGCACAGCGCAAATCTCCAGAGGGCTACAGTCACCATTCTGGGCCATCAATGTAATGTGTAATGTGCTAGGAATCAGTTTACTAGGATGAAAGACCAATTTAAGGAAGAAATATAGATCAGGTAGTATTCTTGAGTATTTCATTAAAGCCTCATCATGGACTTTTAATAATGTGGAAGCTCTGCAGCAATAGCAGTTTGGCTCATCTCTTCTATTGAGGTGAAAAACATGTTTGAACAAGGTGCTAGGTCAACTGCAAAGACAGCAATTTCAAGGTCATTAGAAACATAAACACTGGCTTTTTAGGAGTTTGACTGTTTTTTCTTCTTCCTTAAACAGTACCACACATCTTTAATTTCTCACTGGAATTCATTAAAACAGACGTGGTACTGTGTAAGATAAAGTGTCTGAAGAGAGAATTACCAAATATTAAGTTAATATAACTTGATTTTTTTTGTGTGTTTCCATACAGCTAACTCACTACATAGCATCACTCATTTGTCTTAAGTTTGTGCAGCTTGGGAGGGAGAAGGAACCCATGTTTGGGGGTTGGGTTTTTTTGGGTTGGTTTTTTTTCCCACTCAGAAGCTACAGCTAGGACTTTCAAGTACTAGCTGTACTTGAAATCAAAGACAAAGCTCACAAGTTTCTTATCTCCCAGTAGTTATATCCCTCTCTGAAAAAGCTCTGCTACTATTTCTTTTTGTTCTAATAGGGTAATACAGAGATTTCTTGCAAGCCTACATCTGAGGCTGAGATGTCTACCAAGCTCTTGGTAGAGATGACTGTTATTCCTGCCCACATTGCCTCCTTATTATAACACAAGTCCCTTTGGTAGTGCTTCTTTTAAGACTTATCTCAGTGCTACCATCCTATTTGCATTCAGCACTTCTGAAACAGCAAGACTAATTAAGTTTTCACTGAATTTCCCACCCTGAAAGGCTGCACACTGGCTTCTAGAAAACACTGTAGCTCTGTCACAGTGAAGTGGAGATGCTGCCCAAGAGAGTAGGGCTGTTGGACCAGAAGCTGTAACAAACAGTCTTTGCTAGAGTAAGTTACTAATTTACGTACACAGGAATATAACCCAAATAGAAGCAAACTCACTTTCTGAACAGAGTTTATTTACACAGAGAGTATCATCCATTAGGGCTCCCAGCTTGATTTCCTTCTCTTGCTGAGTCTCTATTCAAACCACAGGAAGAAGCAAGTAAACCTTGAGCTTGAGCCCCTGTCATGGCAACTCAAGGTTAGTCATCAATCTTCAGACCTCACGGGACATCCTCCGTTCCGGTGCTGCAGGACAGCAACAAGCCGGCTGGTGCGTGGGCAGGTCACACCAAGCCCCGTCCCTGTGCACGCACAGGGCCTCCCCCCGGGCAGAGGGGGACGCCTAAACAGGAGTGCCCTCGGGGCCCTGCGGCGCTGTGGCCTGCTGCACGTCCTCCCGGTAGCCCTTCAGGAGCTGGTTGAGCAGTGTCTTCTCACTGTCGCGGTGCTGGCGGATGAGTGGTGGGAAGGGGTTCCCCTTGAGCTCGATGACCGCCATCTTGGCACGGTCAAGGCCATCCCGGTTGGGGATCTGCAGCAGGCGGGTGTAGCTGCCGGGGTGAGGCTGGAACCGGGGTGCCAGCACCTTGAACAGCTTGTGGATGAGGTCCTTCTCCTGCAGGACGGCATGCTCAGCTCCAGCACCGGGGCTGCGGGGGGCAACGAGGGATTTGGGGGGGGTACCTA